AGCAAAAAAAAAAAACACTGAAAAATTGGAATGACCTGCTCAGAGCATCGCCCTAAATCCAATAAATTAATTTTGATTGATCAAAAATTCCGCTGAAATAGCGAACAAAAACGGATTTCTTTTGAAAATATTAGTATGGGGAAAGCAAGGGGAAGGGAAGGCGGAATAATAATGGTAAAAAAAATACAAAAATGGCTTGAGTAGATCCAGATGTTCAAATCAGAACCAAAATAGATAAAACATTTTGATATACAAGAAATTTAAATAATGATATATAAAATTTACACTTTATTTTGTCCGGCAAAAAGTGAATTTACTTTAATTTTAGATGTTATACAGAAAATTTTAGGTGGAATAAATTTGTTTTATTGTTATTTTTGTAGCATTGTATATAAACTAAATGAATTTAAAAAAATTCCATATTCAATAATCATTTAACAGATTTTTCACTGAAATAATGTAGCATGAGCACTTTTGCACTTTATTTTGTCCGATAGTGTACTTGCTTTTTTAAGCCAGTTAGTAGCAATATAGTCATTTTCTGAGTATGACCTAATATGGGTGCTAGGTGAAATCGTTCACCGATATTTCCCATTTTCAATACCAAACAAACTGGGTCAACTAAAAATATTTTGGCAAAATATGTCAGCTCTCTATCCTGTTGCATTTCGACTTTATCGTGTTTTCAACAGTCGGACGGACATGGTTGGATTGTCTTACTTTTTTGGGTCTATGACCAATATTTACAAACGGAATGACAAAATCATTACACCTCCCATCTTTTTTGATGATGGGTTAATAAGATATATGTATGTATGTTTACATAGTTGGTTTATTACAAGAGATCAAAGAAGTTTTTTTATTTTTTACATTTAAAAAAGAGGACAAAAACAAGTAAGAGTGTTATATTCGGTTGTGCCGAATCTCATATACCTACCATCAAACCGTATGCCGTAAAAGGAATGCTCCCCTTTAAATATAAGGACGATATTTGGAATATGGTTTAAGTCATTTATGGACCAACCGATTAATTTTTAAAAATAAAATATTTTTGTTCAATGTTTAAACCGTGAGCGTATGGGTAATTTTCCGAAGGGGACCTTATATGCGTCAATTATGACTTGTTTATGTCAAATTTCATCGCTATACATGTATTTTTAAATAAGGAAAACTCGTATATAATATATAATAAGCAAAACACTTTATGAAAGGAACCTTTTATAGGGGCTATATCAATCCTCATTAAATTCGGAATGAAAAACTATGTTCCTAAGTATAAACTTTTTTTAAGGTCCCCATCATTTTCTGATGGGGACCTTATATGGGGGGGTGGGATCAATTATGGACCGATCCACATAAAATTTGTTAGAGAGAAACTTACTTATGTAAGTCAAATTTCATCGTTATACTCGTATTGTTTAGCCAGTAATGAGCGTTAAATTTTCAGACGGGGACCTAATATGGGGGGCAGGGTCATTTATGGGCCGATCCTCAAAAAAATTAGTACGAAGATTTTAGCTAGCATAAAACTTATGTGTGTCGAATTTCATCACTTTACGAGTATTTTTAAGCCAGTTATGAGCGTTATAGACATTTTAAGAAGGGGATCTTATATGGGGGGTAGGGTCAATTATGGGCCGATCCTCATAAAATTTGGTGGAGAGATTTTGGATCATTTATGTCGAATTTTATCGCTATACTCGTACTTTTCAAACAGTTATGACCGTTTAAGATGTTTTTCGGGGGTCCACTGCATGGGGGCTATCCGAAAACGTGGACCGATTTTGACCATTTTCAATAGAGAATATTTATGCAAAATTTCAGCTGTCTAGCTTCTCCCATGTGGTCCCTATCGTGATTTCATTTCTATGACCAATATTTCGATGTGTTATAAACGGAATGTCAAAAACAATATACCTCCCATATTTTTTGGTGGTGGGTATAACAAACAGCATTTAGTTCAATTGTTTGCAAAAAATTACGCAAAATGAAAAATAACCAATTTTGGTTAATAATAACCAAAATGGCAACACTGTTTACAACCAAAAAACAGTTCCAGGGGGGACGGCCTATATCACAAAATGTTTTTCTGTCATACAAGCTTGGACCATTCTAATGTACATATTTATATCGAGCGCTTTTCACAAAATGGACGTAAGCGACATGATTTTTAATTTTCTTTTTTTTTTTAATAAATTGATCATTTAAATCTATTAGTATGATTTTGTATAGATACAACAATTTAAATTTTACAAAAAAGACGTACATATATAAATACACATTCATTTTCTATTTATGAATTTTGTAACAGCAAAGTTAGTTTAAAGTTGATATTTTATAAATTGCGTTTCGTTATTGTCAAAATTTAAAATTATTAAAGTGATCGAAATGGCAGGAACGGATTTAAAAAAGGTAAATTTACTTTACACATTATAATAGTTTAAATATTGACAATATCCTCTTGTTTGTTTATGGAGCTGTAAAGGAAGATGACCGAAAATTTCAAAAGAAAATTAAGATTAATCTGTTCGTTAAAATTGTTTAATTATATTTTTATTGAATTTTAATTAAATTATAACATTTATAAGACAAAAAAATATTTTTAATAATAAAATCAGAATGCATGGTACCTTAACTTACAAATGAAAATAGATTGTAATCTACATACATACATTATATTCTTATTTGCAAGTATTTATTGGCATCTCAACAACTTCGCTTAGAACTCCACTTATTATGCAATTGAATCGTAGTAGCACCTACTGATGTTACATCTAAGTAGAAGAGAAAGCATCACCCCTGACTGCACGAAATATGCATGTTTTTATGGTGCCTCTTTGGTCCGTTAGACTCATGAATAAGATGTTTGTTTACACGTTTTAAGAATTTTGGCATCTATTTGTTAGCGCATATTTTACCCAAAGGAGTATAATTTTTGCATGGTTTGACTTTAATAGCATATTTAAGGCATATTTTGATGTGCTTCATTTTTCATTTTTGTATATTTAAAATTTGTTTACCAATTTTTTTAATGCAATTTTTTTAATTTAGTTTTATGTCATACAATTTTGAAAAAAAAAAAAAACAAGTAAGGAACAGCCGAATCTAGTACAAACAAGTAAGAGTGTTATATTCGGCTATGCCGAATCTTATATACCCACCATCAAACCGCGTTTATGTCGAATTTCATCTATATACTCGTATATTTAGGCCAGTTGTAAGCGTTAAAGTAATTTTCTGAAGGGGACCTTATGTAGGGGGTAGGGTCAATTATGGGTCGATCCTCATAAAATTTGGTAGACAGAATTTGGTTAGTATTAAATTTATTTGTGTCTAATTTCATCGCTACACTCGTATTTTTAAACCATTAATGAGCGTTGCAGTCGTTTTCTGAAGGCGACCTTATATGGGGGGTAGGGTCAATCATGGACCGATCCTCATAAAACTTTTTAGATAGATTTTGACTTGTATGAAACTTACTTATGTCGAATTTCATCTATATACTAGTATTTTTAAGCCAGTAATGAGCGTTAAAGTCATTTTCTGAAGGGGATTTTATATGGGGGGTAGGGTCAATTATGGACCGATCCTCATAAAATTTTGCATAGTGATTTTGGATCATAAGAAACTTACTTATGTCGAATTTCATCGCTATATTCGTATTTTTAAACAAGTTATGGCTGTTACAGCTGCTTTTCGAGGGGCCACTTGTATGGGGGCTATCCGAAAACGTGGACCGATATTGCCCATTTTCAATACCAAATAAACCTTACCTATAAGAAATATTTATGTGAAATTTCAACCCTCTAGCTCTTTCCATTCGGACTCTATCGTGCTTTCAACAGACAGACAGACGGACGGACAGACGGACAGACATGGCTAGATCGTCTTAGAATTTAATGAGGACCCAGAATATATATACTTTTGTGGGTCTATGACCAATATTTCGATGTGTTACAAACGGAATGACAAAATCAATATACCCCCCATCTTTTTTGATGGTGGGTATAAAAATCAAAAATGTATCAGAAAGTCCCTTTTATAGATTTTCGATCAATCAATCAATTGTTGCGTATGTGCATAAAAACCAAAGATTTTCGGGAAAATAATATAAGAAAGTTGGACCTTTCGATGTTGGAAATGGAATGCGTTATGCGTATAAAATATGACTTGAACTCTTTGCGAAAGTACTGGGAATTTGGAATTTAAATTTGAATTTTAAAATACCTACGGTAATTTCACTGCGTGGTTTTAATCATTTACGCGAAACGCTATGAATTTTCTGTTGTTAATTTAATAATCAAGTTAAAATCTGTGTATCACTTCGGAATGGAATATTTTTATTTAAAATTAACTGGATTAACGTATTGAAGACGAATAAAAGGTTGCCTCTGTTTCGGAAATATATTATTTTAGTCCTTTCAATCGAGAACACTTTTGCTTACAATTTCAGTCTCTGCTAGAAATTAAACACAAACTCTTATATTTGGTTTTAAATTTTTAAATTTCGATAGGTGGCCCTGTATATGGACTCTATATGAATCGATTCTTCCAGAATTTACTCATATTTGGAATTTAATATGAACATCTGATGACCAAACAAGTTTTATCATCAATGAATATGACTGAAGTACCAACATCGCTAGATCATCTTAAAGTCATATAAGGACCCAGAAAGCAAAAATGTTTATAACACTCTTAATTTTCAGATACATACATATATACAAATTTAATAAAGATATACACCAAAGATCAGTTTTTTATTCAGAGAACATAACCAACACAACTTGGCAAAACAATCTGCCTCCTATATATGATATGTCCTACTTCGAATAAACATAATTACAAAAAAAATGTTCTCCTAAAATATTTTGTTTCTGTCGGTTACGTCTTTTTTGCGGAAAGTGCTCTATATTTAAGAATTTCCTTCAATTTTGTTATCCGATGTCTTAATTTTTTTTAAATAACCACATACTTTGATAATTTAAAAATTAACTTACGGATTTGCAGTGCTTGTGTATAGTTTACTAAGAACTTATTTTCAGGGCTCTTTAAGAATTCTTCTGTTAAAATAACAATCAAATGCTTACATCGTTCTTCGATTAATTGGGTTAATGCAACATGCTCGAATTGAACTCCACCTAATAAATCACGATCCTTCATGCAAAGCTGTAAAAAAAAATCATAAAATTATAATAGTTATTAGAAAAGTGCAGTAATTACAGTAAAAATTTCTGTAAACAATACAAATTATTTTATTAAATACATATATTTATTTGTTAACTTCAAAAAATTTTGACTAATTTTATGGAAAATAAAGTTTCTTGTCAGGATCAAACTAACAAAAACTAGATATGATAACACACAGACATTACTAAATAGATTTTTGATGTTTTGTGTTTTTGAAAAACAATATTTATGATGCAATTATTTATGAAGAACGATGTTATTCGTAACAAAGTCCTTAATCTAATTTCATTCTACTTTATTGAGTTGTATTTTTATATGTTTTGTTTGTTTCTGTCATGAATCAACAACAGCAAGAAATTTTACTGATTCCATACAAATTTCACCATTCACATTTGTTTACTTTAAATATACCTTAAAATTGTATTGCGGATTATCTTCTAACTTTGTAAGCATTTCGGATGCATAATTCAAATCAGCATCAGCATAAAGTACAAAAGCATCATACATTTGAGGCGGTAAACCCTTTTGTGCGCGTATCACATCCGAAGTTGTTAAAATATTTGGATCAGAACCATGCCCAAAATCGCCATAAGGTTTTGATATATTCATATCGACATTATCATCAGAGTCCAAATCTAAACACTGCTGCAATTTTGATTGATATGTTTTGGTGTCTTCCACTGAAATTACAAAAATAGTGAGGAATTACTTAATGCTTTTTCAGACTACAGTACTGAGTAAGCACTTATTACTAATTACTAACTATCAACTTTATTTTTTTATTTAGAGTGTGTGCCAATCGGTAACAATTTACTTGAAAATGTAAATTTTTGATAGATATGAGGTGAATAAAATTTGACATAAATTTTTGACAAATGAAAAGAAAAATTTGAAAATACAAAAATGAAATATTTTATAATTTCAGTTTATAATACATTTGTGATTGTAGAAATTTATTTCAATAATAAAAAAATCAATAAAAGAGCTTCTTTTATTAAAATAAATGCAGATTTTCTTGTGCAATTAGTGACAATTGTCAAAATTTAATGTAATCAAAAAGATTTCGTTTGGCACAGCAAAAATGATAATATTTTCCACCATAAGAAAATTTTATTTTACCATAGAACTTTGCTGCCGTTTGGCACACAGTCTTAATTTAATTTTGTTTTAATATGTAAAAGTGCCTTTAGACCAGGAGCGCAAGATTGCCATTACATAGCACGCGTGATAGGGTAAGAAAATTCTGCTGACGCTAAGTTGATACACATACACTATAGGTTTAATTCTTCTTTTTATAATGAGCAATATCAGTTGCTTTGCTCTCAACCAGTGTGACCATTTTGGCATTTTTGCAGTTAGATTTAGCATTTTTTATTTTGATTTAGCTGCAAAATTTTAATTTAGCATTTGGCATTTTATTTAGCATTTTTATAAAATATTTTTAGCTTTTTTTGCAATTTTAGTATATAAACAAAAAAAGACAAATTTTTGCAAAAAAGATTTATATTGGAAATAGGTTTAACCGGAAAAAATCAGAATTAAATGTCTACCCAAACACAAGCAACAAGAAATATGAGAAATGTAATAATTTACCCTGTAATTCAAAATAATGCAAAAAGATTCATGAAGATAAATAACTTAAAATTACGCCAATACAAGTGAATACTTTAAAATGTTGTATTCTAAAATATTTTTCTGGAACCCCATGCTTTTTTAAATTCGAGGTGATAGAAATAATTCAAGAGATTTCATATATTTTTACAAATACCTTCAGTAGGCTATTTTTCAAACTAATACTTTTTGTTTGCTCATGGAATGAAACATATAATTTTGGAAAAGGCTATGTATGACGGTTAATTAACAAATTTTATTTTTTCCTATACGAAATAAAGAGGTTTTAATTTTTATCATCCTTCAGGAGTTCTTGTTAATTTATTGAAAATAAGTATTGAAAAAAATCAATAATATATAATTAAGACTTTCTCATCCTACTTTCTGTTCTTTTTATTTTTACCAAATTTTTAGTAATTTTGTTGTCACGTTTTTTTTTTCATTAAAAAAAATACATAAATTTCGAAAATATTATTGACAATTTATTCCAGAATTACAAACTTACGGATTTGAATATATCTCTCAATTCATTTCATACATTCTCATATATATTTTTCCGAAAAAATCTTGGAAGTATGAGTTATAAACCTGACATCTATACACCGAGATTTAAAATTATTTCAACGCAATTTTCAATATTTTTGTGACGTGAAAACCATTTTTAAAGTGTTTTGAGGAAGACAAATAAAATTGTTTATATAAAAAAAGTAAAACTAGAAATATACTTTTCCTCCCGAAACACATATAGGTTTTATACCATGAGCAACTAGTGTAATTAATAGAGTTTTAATGTAATTTTTGCATTCAGAAATATTTTAAAGTTAGAGACATTACATATTGCTAAATTTACAAAAATTTTGAAATAATTTTTAGCATTTCTGTTTATCTTAATACCACGGAACTTAATTTTTTACCCTACTCCACTATACTACGTTTGAGTATACTAATCGGTTAAGAATCATTTTCTGAATCGATTAAGCCATGTAAGTCTGATCGTCTGGTAGAGGTTGAAATTTTCAAAACAATAAGCACGTATGCTTTTTGATCCAATGACAAAACCTTTTAAAAATGGTTAAAGTCCGTCCTTTATTTTACCTAGCCCCCATACATATACAAATGTATAAAGCCTTTCTTAGAAAATCAGTTTAAATATATTGAAACCAAGGTTCAATTCAACATAAATGCTTTATTACGAAAAATAAATCAAATTTTATACTCATATGGTCAACTACGGCAGAATATACTTTCTTACTTGTTATAAATTACAATGAATTTCAGTTACAAATTAATATGAATTGTTCATAAAAACACTAAAAAAATTTTAGCATTTTTTTGGCATTTTAAAATCAATTTAGCATTTTTTCTAGCATTATTTTGGATGGGATTTAGCCGCAACATCTTTTGAGACCTGGTCACACTGCTCTCAACTTGAAAAACAAAATCAAATCAGTTGCTGATCAGCACTTGTCGAAGCAAGGTCTGTACGCGACGTTTTTAAAATACACACAGAAATACAACAACAAAATTTTGAGAAAGCCGAATTAATGTAGGAGAACATGAGAGAACAGTTGATAGGTTTTTATATATAGACTTTGATATACGCTGGCTGTCAAAATCCATAATAAATATTTGACAGTTAGCATATGCTTTATAGTTTATAGTCATTTTATTAGTATACTTTTATTTTGAATTGAATTCTGTTCTCTGCTGCTTTACCAACACAAATAAAACTATGGTAGTCTATGGTAGTATGTGTTTGAGCAACACCCCTTCAAACATTTAAAAGAGAAAACTATTGCGCATCACCCCAGACGCCACGTCAGAAACACTTATGGACGATTGTCAGACGAGAACGCACATTTTACAAAAACAAAATACATTGATTTCGAATTTTCGTCTTCTAGAAATATACTTTTAAGTTACTTCCGGATGATAGTTAGAAGAGTGCATCCATTTTGCTTAAACAAAAAACCATGTCTGTTGAATTTTTTTCATCTGGAAGTATACGTTTTAGTGACTTCTGTAAGAGAGTTGGGTGAGAACACACATTTTACAATAACAAAATACATTGTTTCCTAATTTGTATCTTCTTGATTTGTATGTTTATGTCACTTCTGGAAGACAGTTTGAAGAGTGTTCACATTAATGTTGTATTTTATTCATCTGGAAGTGTGGATTGTAGTCACTTCTGTACAATTGTCAGACGAGAGCACACATTTTACAAAAACAAAATACATTGATTTCTAGTTTTCGCCGTCTGGAAGTATACTTTTAGGTTACTTCCGGATGATAGTAAGAAGAGTACAAAAACAAAAAAATATAAATACTCCATTTTTTAGCGTGAAAAAAAATAAAAATAAATAATGCAGAAATTTTGCTAAGTTCAGTGATGTTTTGTGTTTTGTTCAGTCATGTTCAGTTTTAATTATTCATCGTAAAACTTAAATGAGTTATTGAATTTAATGTTCATAGAAAAGTAGTGTAATTAAAATATTGTGAATCTTAAGTAATAAAAAACAATATGACAGTGTTGTGTTAAAAATCAACTGTTAATAAACATTTAAGAAGGTTTTCTCAATTGGCGAAGTGTATTAAATATATACCAAAAAGTATAAGGAAGGATTATATAAATAAAATTAAAAAGTAAGTTGTCATATTAAAATACTATTTTAGGAATATGTTAACAACTCTAAACGGCTTCCATTTCCATTATGTTTAAAAAAGTCTAATATGTTTAATTAAAAATTTTTTTATATTAAATTTCGACTCTCTCTTAATTCGTTTAGGAGGTATAAGCATTTAAAGACTTTTTCAAGTTGTACATTTCGGCTTTCATTTGATGAACATTGCATTTTTAACATATTTAGATTTATTTGAGTTAAATCTTAACTTTCAATATTTTTAAAACTATTTGCGCATTTAGGTCTGGAATAATTATATTGAAATTAATACTACTGTTTTATACATAAATTATTTTTTGACTTGGGTCACTCGACACGAAATTGCCCATATAAGATATTTAATATTGAAACCAGATAGTTTTAAACCCACCTTTCTTAAATAAATACAATTTTATTAATTTTCATATAGCTTTGGATTTAATTATTCTAATTATAGGTACTTTTTTAGTTATTAACACCAGGTCTTTCTATGACCTATCATATGATACTAATATTCTTAATATTTAGCATGCCGTTCCCAAGATATTGAACCTAAGTATTAGAAGAGAGCAAACAAAAAATAGTATTGCAATATTAGTGTCAAAAGCAATATCCCGTTTAGGGTCGTTAAGGTGTTTCTATAGTTAGTGATTGTAAATAATTTAAACAAGTAAGAGTGTTATATTCGGCTATGCCGAATCTTATATACCCACCATCAAACCTCGTTTGACTCGAATGAAACTTACTTATGTCGAATTTCATCTATATATTCGTATTATTAGGCCAGTTATAAGCGTTAAAGGAATTTTCTGAAGGGGACCTTATATGGGGGGTAGGGTCAATCATGGACCGATCAACATAACATTTTTTAGATAGATTTTGACTCGTATGAAACTTACTTATGACGAATTTCATCTATATACTAGAATTTTTAAGCCAGTAATGAGCGTTAAAGTCATTTTCTGAAGGGGACCTTATATGGGGGGTAGGGTCAATTATGGACCGATCCTCATAAAATTTTTGGATCACAAGAAACTTACTTATGTCGAATTTCATCGCTATATTCGTATTTTTAAACAAGTTATGGCTGTTAAAGCTGCTTTTCGAGGGCCACTTGTATGGGGGCTATCCGAAAACGTGGACCGATATTGCCCATTTTCAATACCAAACAAACCTTACCTATAAGAAATATTTATGTGAAATTTCAACCCTCTAGCTCTTTCCATTCGGACTCTATCGTGCTTTCAACAGACAGACAGACGGACGGACGGACAGACATGGCTAGATCGTCTTAGAATTTAATGAGGACCCAGAATATATATACTTTTGTGGGTCTATGACCAATATTTCGATGTGTTACAAACGGAATGACAAAATCAATATACCCCCCATCTTTTTTGATGGTGGGT